TAGCCCCCTGACCTCAAAGCCCCCTAGCCCCCTAGCCCCATAGCCCCATAGCCCCAATATAGCCCCTTAACCCCATAGCCCCAAAGTTACCGTTAGCCCCATAGCCCCCGGTTTTCCAAATCGGAAGGCTCTATGGTAGTAGCCCAGGTTGAGCGGCAGATCTTTCCGCTGAGGGTCGGTGGAGTACATGGGCTGTCCAAACTCGGGCTGGCTCAGCTGTCCGGGTCTGTTGTCTTGTCCAGGCACGTGGGAGAACAGACGGTCCAGCTTGCTGAAGGCTTGGAAGCTGAAATGTTGAACCAACAAACAGTTTCTGTTTAGTACCAGAGATCGTGGCAGTGACGTCCCCCACACAAAGAGGTTCTATTTAGTACTAGAGTTCGTGGCAGTGATGTCCCCCCCCCTCCCCCCTCCTCCACAGGTTCTATTAAAAGTGCAGGCAACCATCACTGGTCACCAATGACATTTTTTAGTAGCAAAACTTGTTACAAGAAATTATATTTATTTATAATGAACACATTTTCTAAAGGAAAGGTTCTCAACATAAGCGTTCAAAAGCATAATGTCCCGATTAGAACAAGAAATGGCCGGCTTGCCTTTAAAAGGGATTTTGTCCCAGCTGTAAACTTTTCAAAATCTGCAGAAACCATGGACTGTGACTTTTTAAATAAGTATTTATTAAGCAAATTTCTAGAATACGGTGTACAGGTGTTTGAAAAAAATACTCATCTGTTTAAACAAATTGATACGTCATTTTGCAAAAGTTTGAGAATCTAAGTCCGAAAGTTAAGGAGATTTTTTTTACGATTAGGTGCCCACGAATTTTTGACCGCATAAAGTTAGATATTTTTCCTTTCATATGTGTGTTTTGATGGCCAGGTGTATATAGAGGGTCACTGTCTCCATCCACACTGTCCACCTCTCCGCCAAGTGTCCTTCTTCAGTTTGGAAGACCATCTGTTGAGGAGGATTTAGCTTCAAAGCCATTACAATGTGTAAAAAATCAAGGGAAGTAACAAATGTAGACTGTCAGCAACTGTCCTAATTGAGGAGTTGTTCCCCTTGGATCAGTTACCCCCTCTTCTCGTAACTGTCTCTGTCTACTGACGTGGTTCTTGTCTGTGTCTGTTGCCACCACGTCACTCAGTCTGTGTGTGTTGCCACCACGTCACTCAGTCTGTGTGTTGTTACCACGTCACTCAGTCTGTGTGTTGTTACCACGTCACTCAGTCTGTCTGTGTTGTCACCACGTCACTCAGTCTGTGTGTGTTGTCACCACGTCACTCTGTGTGTGTTGTCACCACGTCACTCAGTCTGTGTGTTGTTACCACGTCACTCAGTCTGTGTGTTGTTACCACGTCACTCAGTCTGTCTGTGTTGTCACCACGTCACTCAGTCTGTGTGTTGCCACCACGTCACTCAGTCTGTGTGTGTTGTCACCACGTCACTCAGTCTGTGTGTTGCCACCACGTCACTCAGTCTGTGTGTGTTGTCACCACGTCTCCATATCGGCACGCGCATCAAAAAGTAATCGTTTAGAACCAGAAGT